AAAACAAGCGGTTATGTTATATTTTATTAAAAAGACTATAGTTGCATATACAAATGCTATACTATATCCAATACTAAATATTTGTAAATAAAAATCCAGTTACTATAGGCACCTATTTGTAATCTGCCAAAGTAAAATTTGTTTCAATACTTGATTGTTCCTTATGGTCCTTCCAAGAATATTCCTAACTTGGTTCTACTAGCTTGTTATAACCACCTTTTTTCTTTAAATTTTTTCTACCTAGTTCTTGGCAAAAAGACTAATATATAATCTAACCACAATAAAAAAACAAAAATAAAGTAAAAGAAAGTATAAAAAAAAAAGAAAACAAGTATAAAGAGGTTAAAAAAAAAGAGGAATAAACACACTAATGAAAAATAAAATATAAAAGAAGAAGATAGAAAAACAAAAAAAAAGAAGTTATAATTATGATATACATATAAAGAAGTGAAAAGAAAATACACTATTATAACCTGTATAAGGCTGAAAAAATATTATACCTTCTACAATAGTGATATATCTAAAATTTAAGTAACTCTTCAAAATTCAGATCAAACATTTCTTAATTTTGTCTTTTTATTCCATTACACGTAAACCATCCAAGGATATAATATAAGAGTGTCATATGAATATATATATGTATGGCTCCAACCTCTGACCCAGATAACTATAAAACTGATAACCCAACCCAAATAAATTACTATCCAGGTCATATTTTTGACAAACCAGTTTAAACATCATAAATGGGTCAAACAGGTTACTTGTCAATAAACAGGTCACCTATCAATATGTCATAGGAGAATATTTGTCTAATTGGCTAATATAAATCAATTGCCCAGGTAGCTTATTTATACAACGTTTTACTAACAAAAAATCACTGCTAAAGCCATTTTTCACTCGATAAAATATCTAGATTTACCATGCAAAAATAATCAGCAATAATCAGTATCCTATAAACTTTGTTTATAAGGCAAAATATACCTACCATTTATTGGAATTATGCTGTAAAGTAAAGGTAACTTTTTGTCTAAAACTATTTTATTATGCTAGATTTAAATAAACTTTTATTTCTAACTTTTTAATTTGAATAGGTACAAGTTCTTTAGCAAAAAGGATCCAGCTTAATATTTAAATTTGGTTGTTTTTGTAGTGCGTTTGAGTTTGTTAACTATAGACTAATAATTAAAAGTTTAATTTATAACCTACAAGATAGAGTTCAGGCTTATTAGTAATAAATATCATATTTACCCACTTTACACGTATATATCTATTCTTTATATATAAATAATAAATTCTTTTGTGTATAACTTCTTTATATGAAATTTCTTTAAAATTATATATTTAATTGTATTGTTAACTTGACTTCACTAATCAGTTATTTGGGTTATCTAATTATAACCGAGTGATCCATTTTATTCAGATAGCCAGATCATCCAATTACAACCAGATGACCTGTTTTAATCAAATAACCGGGTTTAGTTTCAGGTACCTAATTGAAAAAGATAATTGACCCAATAGGTTATGGATAAAGATTTTTAAACCAGTTTGGAACTCTATATATACATATATACAAAGCATGTAGTTGTAGTACACCAAGTTAATCTCGAAATAGAAGTAGTAAACAAAGCTGATTATTTGTTGAGAATAACCAAATTACTTACTTTTTGTTAAAAAAATTTTTGGAAAGAGGTAGCTATTAAGAAAAAGTATATATTTTCTTCTATAAAAATAAAATAAGTTCTAATCAATTTAAAACTTCGAGTAAGGCCAGGTATTAGACTTAGTAAGTAATAAACTCTAAACAAGTTGGTAAGTAGTACATGAGAGCTACTTCTAAACGACAGGTGCTGCCCAAGTGGTAAGTGATAAACTCTAAGTCTATTGACAAGTAGTATATGAGAACTACCTCTAAACGATAGATGCTATTTTACAGAACCTCATAGCCTTTTTTCTATTATATTTAATAAAAATATTTTATGTTTATATTTAAGATAGTTGAAAAAATTTTTAGTGGAAAAATTTGGTACAAGTGATTGTTAGGAAGAGTGATTTAAATAAATTCACTATATTAAGCAATATCTATTGTATTAATAGTCTATTATATTACTCTTTTGATATTAATTTTATATAAAATAACATTCAATTTTATACAAAGTAATATTTAATTTTGTACAAAATAATATTTAAATTTATACAAAGTAATATTTAAATTTATACAAAATAACAATTAAAATAAGGTTAATTAAATTATAATTATTTTATAATTAGTAATTCAACTTTAATGATTTTAGTACTATTTAAATTCTCTCTTAAATGATACCAAAATTATCCAAACTAGATTACTAGATCACAAGATATTATGTTTTAGCCAACCTTATTTTAATTGTTATTTTGTACAAATTTAAATGTTATTTTGTATGAATTTAAATATTACTTTGTACAAAATTGAATGTCACTTTGTATAAAATTAAATATTATTTTGTATGAAATTAAATGTTATTTTGTATAAAATTGATATCAAAAGGGGTAAGAGTTATATTTGTATTGGACTATCATTTGTATAGTGTTTTGTTATAAAACTTTGGTTATTACACTTGTATAATATTGTAGTAACATATATAATTTAGATAGGCTATATTAGATTTGTGTTAGATTTATTGTGATTTTATAATGTTTTGCTAATAAAAACTTCAAATACAATACTTACAAACTCTTGTAGTAATATAGGCAATTCAATATTAAATTCATCATGATATGTATAATGATTTGCTGCAAAATATCTACAATAGTTGTTGTATTTACAGAACAAAGATGATTTAGATAAAATTATGTTAGATTTGTATTTGATTTATTAATGATTTGCTATAAAAAAAATCCGGTTGCTGTACTTAGACCTTTGTAACAACATAGGCGAGTTATACTAGGTTTTAGTGATTGGACCCAGGTAGATGCCAACTGCGGGTGGGTGAGTGACCCAGGTGGAGTTTTGACCACTCGGATGGAAACGGATGGGTCACCTGACAGGTAACCTGAAATTGTAAGACTTTACTAAACTTCAATCAAAAAAAACTTTTCAACCCGGATTAAAGGTGTCCTCAAGCACCGCTCAATGGATCGGAGGTGAATTTTTAAACGTTATCATTTCAATGAGATACAACCCATTTTTTTTCTTTAAAAACTTACTATTGATAAATATTACTTTACATTTTTACATATCAAGCCTCAATAAATTTCTACCCGATCCAAAAAAAATTATTAATGTTAGGGACTTTTAAAACAAACTATATACCAAGAATATAACTATTACTTAAAAATATACTGTATTTGTATATACAAGTATGCGTAATAACGAGGGTCATCTATTTTCACCCGGGTGGCTCATGAGTCCACCAGACGGGTTGCTTTTTTTTAACCCGCCCGGGTGGCATTTTTTTTGACGGGTCCAATCACTAGTTACGGTTAACGATAGATCACCGGAAATCATCTAATTGGCTACTGATAATCATCAAAATCATGTGTAATGTAAAAATTAAACCACGTTTTTTTGCTTTTGTAAGAAGTTTTACCTTTCACCATCTGTTTTTTATTTACTTTAGCTTCTGTTTTTTCCTGTTTGGTGGTGTTGCTTGGAGTGTGTGATTCCATTATTTTTATTGCCATTTTCGTCTCTTTCGTGTTGTTTACGATAATTTCGATTAGTGATTGGCGCCGTAATCATGTGATGCTAATTGTCACATGATACAATATATAAAAATCAACAATTAGATTGTTGATTTTTCCATCTCATATTGTGTTACCGAAGCAACGTGAAATTTTGTATCATCTCAACTTTACCCGCTAGAGTAGTAACTCACGATAAAAATCATTATTATTCCAATTATCATTAGAGTCCATAATAAACATTCATTCCTAGTAACTAATGCTATACCCAAAGCTAACTTATCATATATAAACGCGTAACATTGGCTAATATACCATACTACAAACCAACTCAACTGCATACTGAATACCGGAATAAAGAATAAGGTTTGTAACAGAATTTTTACAGCACTCTCGATAGAATCACGACAAAATAACTCTACTATATGCTTTGGTTACATTTAAGTTCTATAATAAATTTTTTTTTACTAACTCACTATAGAAATTATATTATTGCCAATATCAACTACATACTGTGGATCCCAGAATAGAGAATTCGGGGAAAACGTTTCAAATACAAAAATCAAACAAATAGATACAACCAATTTATAATGTATTATTCTAACAGACGCAAGTTTTACATTACTCACGATAGAAATCACAACAATTCTAATCTACACTACCTCATCTGCATACCTTGATCCCCGGAATAGCATGTAAGATATTTTTTTTCAATAACTCAAGATAGAAATCACGATAGTTTCAATGTAATCTAACTCAACCATACATTCCTTTCACAAACATGTGCATTAGAGTGATCACCTCACTTAAATTAACGCGAACAAAATAAAATTGATATATAGTAAATAATAATGAATCTGAATAGCTTATTTTAAATACTTAGATTAATAAATTTTTTTTATACTTCCCTATATTAATGCGAATAAAATGTAAATACTCTTGAACTTAAATATATAGCATATTTTAAAGGCAATAAATTTTCTTCATAAAATTATAGTAAATAGTCCTTATTCACTCATGAACAGGTGGGTAGCCCATAGTAAAATGAATTATTATAGATTGCTATATACATTACCTACTTTCTTAGTCTCGCTTGGTTAGTTTGAAAAAATTTGTAGCAAAATATAAACCTTAGTATTGTTCGGGGCTTTTCTAAATGCTGGTGAAATAAAACTTGTGGCTAAAATTCTTACCCTGATCCAATGTCATGTGATGTGGCCAGAAATACAAGTTTGATTTCTTAATGCTGGCCAAACAAATTTTTTGATTATCTAAGCTGATCATTTAAAAGAGCAATGTTTTTAGACGTCCAAGCCGCAAGTGCTCTTTTTTTTTTAATCATGCCTAAAACTAAATTTAGTGACCTGCCTAAATTTAAACAAAAGGATATCATAGTAAAACTTAAACATTCCTTAGATGACTTTAGAGCCGACCGAGAATACTATTTAAGACAAAGTCCTCAACATTATCACCACCTTCTCGTCAAGACCGAATCCGAGTTTGTAAACCCGGGAGCTCAGGAATTTTTTAAACGTTTACATCGAATTATTATTGGTAACGTTTTATGGAAACATAAAGAACTTGAAATTTTTTTTACAGCTTTGGAACGCTGTGGAAAACATAATCCCGCTGAAATTTCCCGACGCCTCGGTACTAAAAGTGTATCACAAGTCATAATGCTTATTGAACTTTTTGAACATGAATCAAATTTGGCGAAGGCTTGCAAGGCGATCCGTCCTGTAAATTATACTGACATACCGTCTGCTAGGGAGATGAGTGATTATTGGTTAGAGTTTGAGAAAATACAAGTTAAAATGATTCAAGAGCGAATTAATAAAATTGAAACGAAAGAGACTTTTGAAGAAAATATGCAACCGATTTCTAAATGGGATGAAAAAAAGTTGGAATTGTTTGAACTTGAGAATATATCGAAATTGATCCGAAAGTAAATATATATATATATATATAATAATAATAACTTGCATTAAGGCCAGAACCTATTTAATTCGATGGTTTACATTACATTTCTCATCTCAAAAGGGAGAGGGGGTTAATGTAAACCATCGAATTGAATTAGTCTGGCCTAATGTCATTTATAATGCAGTGTTTAATTATAATATCGTTTTTATTTATTTCTAGGCATACTACCGATGATATTCTTGTTAATCGTTCATCTATTATTACGCTTTATCATATACTACAAAATTGGTTGCAAGATATTATTAAAAATCTTATTGCATTAAATGATCACTACAAAAGAACTTATACTCAAGAGAAACATGAGGCATGTAGTATTGTTAATTTCACATAAAAGAATGGATAAGAAAAGTAGTATGTTGAAATTTACGTTTACGTTTATCTTAAGATTTCGAAATATGATGTATACAAAGCTCTGGAAATTTATGGGTATAAATTCTCGAAAACACGTAATACGAATGTTACAAATGAAGATGACGATCTTATAGAGATCAGTGAATCTCAATACATGAGTAGTTTAGTTGATAAGAATATACAGGAGGGATATTCTAGTAACGCTTATAGTGACGGTTTATCCGATGAATTTAATATGCAAATTGACGTACAACAGACAAAAAACGCGGATCAAACACTCAATGAAACTAGTGAAGATAGTGACAACGATGAGTTCGATGACACGGGTTATGATTCGAGATATCGACGTAGTGAAGATGTTACAAATCATCAAATGATCATTGATTATGACGATGAAATCGAAATTAAGGAACAAAATGTAGATAAATTGTACGACAATGAAATCGAAATTAAGGAACAAAATGTAGATAAATTGTACGAAAAAGCATTTTTACGACTTCTTATTAATCCAATTGATGCAGAATCTATGAACATCTCGAATGAAATAGAAAATTTGGAGGTTTTGCTAGACACAGGTTTGAGGAGCTGCAATAGGATTTTTGATGAAAAATCAGTAGATTCTGAATTGGAGGACTTGCTAGATTCGGATAAATCACCACAACACCATGTTGATTACACTGATACTGATTACACTGATATTGATTATACTGATGTTGATTATACCGATGTTGATTATACTGATTATGATATTGATGCTGTTTGATAAAATTTTGCCAAATCTGTTTTTATGCTGTATGCGTATATGATTGGATTGGATTAACATTTTTGGAGATTGACCATTTTACGGATTTGTTTATTTTTATAGAATCACATTTGATGAATTGTTAAACTTATTGGCTGCTAAGCATTGACAAATATTTTTGAGAAATATTATCTATTTTGTTTTTTTATTTACAGTAATATACAGTCGTGCCTCTATATAATCACCTCTATAATTACATCGTATAAAAACCTCTCATTATCACATTCTGTACTCAAGACAATTTACTGTCGCAGATCATAATGAAATCGGATTAAAATGAAACTGAGGACCTTTCTTGCTCATCTTTAAAGCTTATAAAACCCACTTATACTCTTTTATTAATAAAACTAACTCTAAACCCTAACCCTAAAAAATGTCCCCCAAAAAATTTTAAATTTTCCTAAAAAAATAGAAAAATTTCATTTTAATCCGATTTCATTTTAATCTACCACATTTACTAGTATTTCGATCCGTAATCCGAATAATTCGGATGGATCCGACAATTCGGATTGAATACGGATATCCGTATCCGTTAATTTTAGACGAATAGATCCTGTAATACATATCGGATTAAGGATAAGGATTATCCGGATCATAACCCTAGATATCTTTTATGTTATTGATCAATTTGAACGGCAAGCGTATAAGCGTGGTGGTTGTAGTGATCTCTGCCGTAATAACAGAAGCGAAATGCTAGGCGGCAGTTAAATTTATGAGTTAGTTGTAAGTTAATGTGGTTTACCACAAAATCTCGAAAGACAGATTCCCGAAAGGACCTAAAATCGACAAAGTTAGCCGGCATTAGTTATAATTCTGGTCAATTTAGTCGGTATTATGTTCTTCGGGAAAATGGTTTTCGAGATTTTGTGGTAAAACCCCAGAGAAGGTATCGTTCTTTCTACTTTTAAGATGAGATGAGTAGAATTTAATTCTGAACAACTTTAATTAAAAGCTCAAGAACAAAAAATCATCTCAGTATTTAGCAAATTGGTTACGAATGGAAAAGACTGCTCGTACCAATAAACCTTCTAAAAATGGAACGAATATAAATTAGACTTTTATAACAAATATATTACACGAACAGGCGCCGCTATTAAAAAAGTTAATATGATCATGAATTTGTCGACTGGTTTAAAAATGAATCTCAGTTAGGATTCCAAGCGACCAAGATATTATTAATATTTGTCGAGAATGCGTGAAAGTAAAAAATTTTATACAGTATGTTTATATTTATTTATATATTGAATACTAACGATTAAAATTAGTTCAAAAATGGAATCCAAAATTAAATGAAAGTATCGAAATGGATTTAAGAATTAAAGATTGTCCATCTGAAGCAGATAGTTTGCTGACACCTAAGTGTTTAGCAATTTGTCGAACTGATAAGCCTTCTAAATTTTTTTCAACGATTTGCCAGCGAAGGTGCTTTGTAAATATCATTTCTAGAGATATCCCAAATTTTTTAAAAATAAATTTTTTGTCTTCGACAAGAAACGAAAAATAATTAGAAATAAATAAATGCCTTCGTTTGAACGAAAATGGATCTTTCCAAAGAATAGGAATCGAAATTTAATTCAATTTTTTAAAAACGAATTTTCATTGAAAATAATTAAAAATGAATAAAGGCTTCGTTTAAACGAAAATAGATCTTGCCAAAGAATAGGAATTGTAATTTTGCACAATTTTTTAAAAATGAATTTTCGTTGAAAATAATTAGAAATGAATAAAGGTTTCGTTTGAACGAAAATGGATCTTGCCAAAGAATGGGAATTGAAATTTTACACAATTTTTTAAAAACTAATTTTTCGTCTTCGACAAGAAATGAAAAATAATTAGAAATAAATAAAGGCTTCGTTCGTTTGAACGAAAATGGATCTTGCTAAAGAATAGGAATTGAAATTTTACACAATTTTTTAAACCCAAATTTTCGTCGAAAATAATTAGAAATGAACAAAGGCTTCATTTGAGCGAAAATGGATTGTACCAAAGAGTAGGATTGAAATTTACAACTACAAGTGCATGTCGATATTTAGTCTTATTGTAGTCATCTTCTTATTATTCCCGAAAATCAATAACTTAACTGAATCGGCCGAAAAATCATTCGGCTAATTTTTATCAAGTGTTTCAGGAATTATGATATTATGATAATAGCCGTAAATAAAAAAAAAAATAGAGTTAAATTAAAAAAACATCGTTTTTTTTAAAAAAAAAATATAAGAAAAAAATCGGGTATTAAAAAGACCAACCAAATTTTAAGATCACATGTAACGTAAAGTTTGTAACTCAAAAGTTCAAACTTTGCTTACATGTGATCTTAAAATTTGATTGGGCCGGTAAAATTTTTAAATTTTTAATATTTTAACAATTTTTTTTAAAATTGTTTTTAATTTGGGAAATGATTATTAGTTAAGGGGAAATAATTTCGTGGAAGTTATTTTGATGGGGTGATATGTTGGGAATAAAAGTTGTTGGAAATGTATTGGCGGGAATTGTTGTGTGGTGAAGTGGTGAATGGTTTTGGGAAAAAGGTGGTTGTCGGGGATGTGGTAATTAACAGGGATGTAAATGGTTGTTGGGAAAGGAGTGGCTACCAGGAAATGAGTGGTCATCGGGATGTAGTAATTGTTAGTTGTAATTGGTTGTCGGGTAAGTAGTTGTCGGGAATGTGTAGCTGTTGGGGAAGTGATTTCGGGTAAATGATTATCGGGTAGATAGTTTTGTTGAGAAGGAATGGTTGTTTGGAAAGGGAAATGGTGATTGCCGGGAAGTGGTTGTGTCAGGGGGACATGTTTGCAAACTTTGGACCAAAGAATAATATATACATAAGCACTTGCTTTATTGAGAATCATGGTTTAATTAATGGTTTTCTATAAAAATTAATAATTAAAAACCTAATTATATTAAAATTTTATAGCAAGTGGGTACTGGAAGATGACCTATTAGTTAGTTTTATGTCAAAATCCCGAAAGTCAAAATCCTGAAATTTAATTGTCGCGTCGCGTCGCGTGATGTCGAGGTTCCAGTATTCAAACCCCGCTTATGATAATAAGGGTTGGAACCCGACATACGCGACAATTAAATTTCAGGATTTTGACATAGACGCGTCCTAATATGTTAGTGAATTTACAACATAGTAACAATCGAGTTTTGAAATAACGCGCTATTTCGAGAAATATTTAGTGACAGTGATAAAATTTGATTATTATCCGATACCCAATTATATTGCATTTACAGTGATTATTCACATGTCATAATCTTTAATTTTCACATTACACTAACATAGCGGGCTTTCATTCTTATTGGCTAATTTTTGTAGATCATCTGATGACGATACAAAATCTGATTGGCTAAT